CAAAACTGAACTGTCACAACTACACTCTAGGTTTCCTAAAAGTGTGTGGGATGGCTGCAGGAATTTTTGGGCTGAAATTTACAAGTCTGAAGAGAAAGATTATCTAATATATATAAAAGCTCCATAACATTAGCAGAGCTCTCTACAAAACCACAGCACACAGGTCAATCACATGATCCATCGCTAGTGCTAAGCCAGCAACAACCCTCCACTCTGCCTTGGTTTGCTCTTACAGTACATGTGACATGAGAAACTGCGAATAGAAGAAAATTACTCAACTCCAGATTTGTATTTTTGCCATTTCAGTCTTAATTTCTCAGCAGATCCCTTTCAACTTTTTAGTTATGCAATGTTTGCACTTCCATCTCTTTCTAGGACATTCCCTGGAATTGGTTTTTATTTTCTTTGCCCAGGGCTGGGACAATATGCATTTACAAGAGAAAGCACATGCATGTCCCCTGATTAAGCAGAGGGATTCCTGAAAAGAAGACCTTAGAGGCTCCAGGTTCTTCACCACATCTCCTGAAGATACAAGAGCAACACATTTTTCAACCATTACTACTACCCCAAGCCAACACAACGTGACTAGGTTTGCTTGCACAGCTGGAATGGTGTTCTCAAAGCAGCCACAGAACCATCAGGTCAAATAAACCACATGCAGACAAGGCTGCCAGCAGGGTCACAGTGCCCCAAGTAACCTCCCATCCCAGCTGTCCTGGCATCCTCACTCTCACTCCTCCTGGTACTGCCTGTGCTGCTTGGCAGGCAGAGCAGCCCACAAGCCTTGGAAGTAGAGCCCAGAGCTTTCCATGGCTGAGGCTGTTTGTAAGACAGTGCACACAGACCACTTGGCAGCTTTTTGAAGAGCTCAGTACAAAAGGCAAACAAGGAACGGAAACCTCATCTACTCCAATAATCTCAGTACATCACAAAGTTCCTCTGATCTGCAGCTCCCAAGTTCAGATTTGGAGATGTGATTTTCCTCCCTTAATATTTCAGCTCAGGCCCTTTCTTCCCTATTGCTGACGTTCTTCTCATCACCACCCTCTAACTTTATCTGTAATCTTTGGAACACAAGGAGAGATAGTATGTCTTGCACCTCAGAGGTTAAGCAATGAGAGCTATTGCCAAACAGCACAGCAAAAACCCCATGGGCAGAATGCACCAACACTTGCACTGGGAGGTGGAAACATTTGGAGCTGGACCCCAAGAAGGCTGTATGCTCATACCTGCAGCTTTCTGCTGTGCACACAGGCTGGGGTGTTAACACAGACTCTCCCGCTCACAGGAGTGGGTTTGGCCCCGTGACGTTTCATACCCTGTTACCACACACTTTCATGGTATTTTCATATCTGGAACATCTCCACTTAAATGTGAGGCATCCTTCTGCTCCACTGCTTGGCCACTTCCATCCCTCTGGATTGGTTCTTTCAAAGAGCTAATTCCGATTATACAACTATAGCAACTAATACTAACTATAACAACTAATTCTAAAAGTATAAAGTTTCCCTGATGATTGAGGGAAACAATGAAAGATCAGAATTGCTTTACACTTTCCTCTGTTTATTTCTTGTTTTCTCCAAGACAATTCTTAAAACTATCTCAAGGCCAGCAATATCTAATGCTATGAAGTAGCTGCATGAGCAGGGAAGCCACTCAGGTAAGAGAGTTCTGTTGCCTCACTGGGATAACACCCACATGGGAACACCCAGCTTGGGTCTAGTCAGGAGGGGATTTTCCCCCACCTTCTCACATCACCAGCAGGTATTTCATTATGAAATGCTTCTGCTTCTCCTTCTCCTTACTTAACTGAATTATGGATCCCTGCAGAAGAAATTACATTATCAGATGAATAAAAGAAGAATAAGCCTTTGCTGAAACAAACCACAGTAACCAGCCTTACTAGTAGGTGTACTGTGCCTACAACAGACATTTTAAGGTAACATCCTTAAAATCACATCATTTCACTCACCTAAAAGACATCAGAGGCTGTTAGGACTTCACTGGATGCTTTTATCCCTATTTCCAAGCTGAAAAGGCAACTTACTTGTACTGCTACATTTGGGAACAGAAAGGCAGCATGTACAGCTGCAGGAAACAGTACTGATTAAAAACTGCCTAGTCAGAGAACCTCCATTTTGGCACACAAAACTACATCAATTTATACAAAAGATTTAACTTACTGTGTCAAACTGAGGTAACTGGGGAGGAGTGAGGGCACTTTTATTATGCTACTGCCTCGTGGGCCCATGTGACAGGTACACAATTAGAGAGATGACTTTCCAATTATAGTTTAATTCCAGTAAGCAGCAAATCCCCACACAGCCCCTCACTCACTCCCTTGCTGTAGGATGGGAGAGAGAATCAGAAGGGTAAAAGCGTAAAAACTTGTGGTTTGAGATAAAGATGATTTAATAACTAAAAAAGAGGACAAAAGCAACAAGGACAGAACATACAAAAACCCCAAACAAAACCAAAAAACAGCAAACCAAACCCCAGAAAAACAAGTGATGCAAAAGAAAACAATTGCTCATCATGAACTGACCAATGCCCAGCCAGTCTCTGAGCTATGGAAGCCCCAGGCAAGCTCCATCCTCAGTTTTATTGCTCAACTTGATGTCATATGCTGTGGAATACCCCTTTGCTCAGTTGGGGTTATCCCCTTCCAACTTCTTGTGCACCCTCAGCCTACTTGCTGGCAGGACAGTGTGAGAAACAGAAAAGCCCTTATACATAGCTATATGTCCTTGCTATATGGAAAGGAGCAGGTTACCTACTTAAATACTTTCTGGAAACCTTAGTTACAGATACCTATAGAGCTCTGACTAAAGAGCCAAGCCCTTTCCCTATATTCTCATGCTGTTACACAGGAAGCACTTGGATTCACATTTTTAAGGTATTTTTTCTCTCCTGACTATATTGGAGTTCAAGCTCCTAAATTGGACATAGAGGGTGGTGTTTCTGCTGGAGTACCTAATGGGGAGAAACGAAGGCTCAGGAAAGCAAATAAATTGACAGGCTGAATACCTGAAATGACTGTAACTAAAAATATACTGGTTGGGGTCTACTGGTTCTTTCTAAGAGGAGGAAAACTGTGTAAGGGAGGAGGAAATGAGGATGTGAATGCAAGTCACAGCAAGTGCAGCAAAGCTCACAGAAGCTGGAAGGATTAGCCTATCATTTCCTGCCGTGTGCTGCACAAAGCAAGACAAACCCAAGGATGCAAGATTAAAAAAAGGCTATTGTGTGATTTTCCACATCTGAAGCAAATAGAGACATGTCAGGAAGATACTCTGGGATTAAGATAAGCCACTGCTGGATGTGTTAATCAGCTGGGCTGTAGACTGCAGCAGCCCTGGTGTGGGGTGGTGCCCCTCAGGAGGAGGGCAGGGTACCCTGTATGAGGGTGGCAACAGCTCCCGCTGTCCAAACTGAGCCTGAGTCCTGCCCCTGCAATGGGCCTTTGCCAAGAGACCAAACTCCTCTGCATTCAGCAGCTTCTCCAGCTTGGTCAAACTCTCTACTGAGTAGAGGGTCCTAGAAAGAAATGAGATTTCCTGTTCTGTCATCTGAAGAAGACATTGGCTCCAAGTCAGGAAAACGTGATACAGAAATTCAGCGTGGGAAGAATTGTCACTATGCAGCTACTACTGCAACCCTCAAATTTTGCCTTAAAAGGTAAATAAGCAAAGTCCTCTCTAAGAACTGCTGGTCTCAGGACCGGAGGTGGATGTTCTCAGATCTAAGCCTGGAATTTGAGTCTGGATTAAATCCAGATGTTAAGATCACACCCACTCCCTTAGAAAATTCAGATCTCAATATAGACAGTGGCTTGTGCGTGGGGATGGGGAATTGTTTTTCTGGCTCGCTCTCTTTGACACTGACTGGATGGGAAAAAATTAGGAGTATGCACAGCTCTGACTTCAGAAGTGGGCAAAAGGGATTAGATGTTGCTAATTAGAGTACAGTCATAGGCTTTCGTTTGGACAGGCTGAGTGCAGAGGGGCTCTGACTCTTGGTTTTCTGCTCAAGTATCTAAATGCATAAAATCATTATCAAAGCATAAAATTCATTAAAATCCTATGAAAGGACCTACCTGTGGACAAATGCAAGGCCAGATGAACACCACAAACCTGTGAATGAAGTTCTATTTCTAGAAATACCAGGCAAAACATGCTTGAGAGAAGAGGGATGGGAGGGAAGTATTGAAGGTAACTTACGCCTGAGCCTACATGGTAAATCAGTAACGTGGGAAGAGACCATCTTCACCAGCAACTCTTCACAGACATTGCAGAAATCAACTTGACCGTGTGACAGGGGATTTTGCTTTTTTCCCCATTTCAGTTTCTGTATGGGAAGCACTTTCTGTGACTTCTCACTTCCCTCCCAAACTACTGGAAATTAGCCTTTTTCTCCCCTTCCTTGCAACTTATTCAGCAAAGAAATGGACAAATCACGGCTTTAGGAAACCAAAATCACAGAGGCTCTCAGGGTAGCTGACAGTCTTCCCTTCCCTTCCCGTGCAGCACATGAGCCTTTCAGGCAGTCAAGCTTCCTCTGCTGAATCCATCTGGTACACACCTCAGGGACCAGCTCCAAAACACAGGTACACCAACGAAGTACCCACCTTCTGACTGAAACTCTGTCGTGGACAATGGAATAAATTTGTCCTCACACCAATGCTCCCCCTCAGCTTAAACCATTTCCCTCCTTTATTCCATGCTACTCTGCCCTTCCCGTATTCCCAGGCAGCTGCTGCCTCCCCCTGTACCTGCCATCTCTCCAGACAGGCTGCCTAAGCCTGCTCTCTCCCTCAGGATGGGGTCCCTGTTCCCCCTTGGCTGCCACTGGCCCTGTTGCTGTTTGCCAGGAGAACTTCAATCTGCATTTGCGTGGCACTTCATGCCAGTTCCTCCTGAGCCCTGCAGGATGGCAGAAATACATTGCCACAATTAACACCCTTAAACACCATTTAATTAATCCACCGAAGGCCTAAGAAATTTTAATTAACAGCAGCTTTATTAGTATTTACTTCACCTTCAACACATAAGCTCCAGAAGTATTTCCAAAGGGAGGGCACTGACAGAGCAGTTGACAAGACACCCCTTTCCCCTGACTTTTCCCTGCTCTGTTGCTCCCAGAGCTCCCAGCCAGCTCTGTGCACTGACAAGGACACGTTCCTCCAGCAAACCTCCAAGATGAGGGTCAAGTAAATGTCATTCCTTGGCTCTGCGCAATTCCTGTCATGCACAAGGTTAAATAAATTCACCAAAATCAAGCTTTAAAGAGGTGCAATTGCAGTGTTTGATTAACAGCAGAGATTGTAGGGAAGCCTGACAGGAAGGCCGAGAGTTCTGCTCCATTTGGAGATCTCCGTGTCACAGCCAAGGTCGCTGTGTCTCAGCTGCCAGCCTTGAGTGATGTTTGTGTAAAAAGCAGATGCTCTTCAGGTTTTCAGGCTTCACATGCACTCCTGAACACAAACCCACAACTTCCTGAATTCCAGCAACACAGCAGACTAAAGATTACCTGGATAAAGAAGGATTATCAGATTTTTGTGGGATCAAACCTGCTGCTGCAGGTGTCCAGGCAGATGAGCTCTGCAGCCTGTTGCAGCACTCTGCCACCACATTTGCCCAATACCTTTCTCTGGTTCCTCTTAGGACAAAACACACGTTCCCTCTGAGTTAAGTACCATGGACAAACAATAAGGAAAAAATGGGAGAAGGAAAAATAGTCTCAACCTACTATAAATCAAGCACACAGGTGTTGATTTCTGTTGTTAAAACTGCAGTTAACCCAAGGAGCACGGGAATGATCCCTTAGGTCCAGACACATAATTAACTCTGTGCTCTAAGGAAGCTTGACAGGTATGTACATGGTAAAATGTCATGTTCCCTCAATTTTTAAAGTAACTTATGTGATACAAAGCTTCAGGGTAGGAGTCAAATACTACTGTTTGAGGGAGCAGGGACAGCAGTAGTCTGAAACACAGATCAGGTGTCTTTAACCTTCAAGACCTAATTAACTATTATTTTGCAAAATACTTGAGGCATGTAACACTAACCAAGAGCCACTTATGGGGAAGAAAACAAACCTCCTCATGAGCAACTGAACTAATAATTTGAAACACTATCCCGGTATTACCAAATGACCTGGACTCCTGCTATCATAACTGCTATACAGGCTCAGGTCAAAGGCCACAGCCTCACTTCAATAATTTATTTACATAACAAATAAAAACTAGCATATATCTAGTTTAATGATGCCCACCCATGGGAGGCTGTTTCTGCATTACACCGACAAATAATGAGCTGCTTAAGAGCCGAGCATCGACACTTGTTAAATAACACCGTCTTAGGTTTCTAATAAGTAAGAGAGAACTGTGCTTAAAACACACCTGCTAAAGCCTTACTAAAACCCAAATCCCATGCCCTGCCTTGTAAAGTCACAGCTACTTTTCTCAGGGCTCTGTGAGGAGTATGTGAGGGCAGAACTCTGTCCCACTTTCTACCTCAGAGCTTGGTAACACGGTGGAGCTCACAGCGAGTGAGACATTTGACTGTGTTTGAGGGTGCCTTTCTCCTGATCAGCTTGCTCAGATCCCAAAGTTAATGTCCTGCAGCCAGCATTCTCTAAGTGAGTCAGTGATGGAGAGAGCAGGGTCATGAAAATACCCTGCTGGTCATTCCCCTGCCCTCTATCAGAGGAGTTGTCTAAAGACTAGTTTGCAACATGTAAATACTGACCAATACTTTCCGAGTGCCTTTTATATCCAAATTTGTGTTCAGTAGCCACAGTCCCACACAGACTTTGTATTTCTTTAATCACTTTATATGAGCACCTTCTAGTAACTACACAACATGACTACATGCAAGGCAAGAGTTGAGAAAGAGCAGCCTTTAAAAAAGCTCTCCTCCAAACTTCATATCTGTTACAAAATCCACTCTTGCCTCGAAGTGCTCGAAACAGCCCTCAGCTCTTTACCCGAATCCTGTCTTCCGTGAAATTGTTTCTCAAGATGAGGGGAAAAAAAAAAGCATCATCATTTTTCCTCCTCCATTCTTTCCACACTTCAGCAGTCAGTACGTGCTGTGGTTTGAACGACCAGACACACAAGGAGAGCTCCTTTTACCATTACCCACCTGTAAATAATTCTTTTAAGCAACTAAACTTTAATGCCCATTGCAAACCGGAGGGCGAAGGGTTCAATTTCACTTCTTGCTGTTCTTTTTCCTTCGAAACGCGGCAAAAACTCAGTGGTGGAAGTCTAAGCATCCCCTGTCAGAGAAGCTGTTATTCACACCGGCTTTAGGCAAAGCGAGAGGGGCTCGGGATCCCACCACCACCACCATCACCAGCAAGATCAGCTGCCGCCCCCCGAGCACGGATTCCGCAGGGACTCAGAGGCACATTTAGGAAGCAAACACCGGGACGGCCCGAGCAGCGCTGGGTTTCCCCGCGCCGCTGACTCAGAGCTCGCGTTTCCCACTCCACAGGCGCACCCCTCGAAATACGGACCGTGGGACTCCGAAACTTCTGGGAAAGCGGCATTTGCATAGCCTGGGGCTGCCAGGAAAACCCCCAACAGCGCACACACGCACACACACACACATAGCCCTCGCAGACCCCCGGCAGCCACTCAAGACCCCCCCGCGCCCTCACGACCCCGAGGGAGCGGCTCAGCCTCCCCTGCACCCTCACAGCGCTTCCACCCCCTCCCAGGGGGCCCTCCCATCTCTTCAGGAAGCCTCCAGCCCCTCAAGACCCCCGGCGGTCCCTCCGCGTCCTCAGGACGCCCCCAGCCCCTCACGGAGCCCACAGAATTCCCCAGAGCCACCCCTGGACACCCCAAAACCGCCCTCGGACACCCCGCACGACCCGCTGAGCCGCCCCCGCTCCCTCCCCGCGCCTGCGCCGGCGGGGCCGCACGGCGCCTGCGCCGCGGCTATAAAGGGCGGTGTCGCGGGAGCCCCGCCCGCTGTCGCGTCCCTGCCGTGTCCCGGTCCGTGTGCCCTGTCCCTGTCGCCGTCACCTCCGGCAGCAGCGAGAATGGAGGCGGTGGTGCGGCGCTGCCCGTTCCTGGCCCGCGTCTCGCAGGCGTTCCTGCAGAAGGCCGGGCCGTCGCTGCTGCTGTACGCCCAGCACTGCCCGCGCATGATGGAGGCGGCCCCGCCGGCCGCCCGCGCCCTCGCCACGTCCGCCGCCCGCGGGCAGCAGGCGGAGGAGGAGACCCCCGCGGGCCGCCGCGGTGAGTACCGGCCCCAGGGCACCCCCCGCCAGGGGAAAAAAACAATAACCCTGGCGTGGTGTGGCACGGGAGGGGGGGAAACTTCTGGAATAGGCAGCGCTGAGGCAGGGGGTTGCTTAATCCTTTAAATGCCCGCGGTTAATTGAATTTGTGGCACAAATCAGCCCCTGGCCTGTTCGGGCGTCCCGGCTGGGGATCCGGGATCCTCTGTCTCGCAGCCGTGTTTCTCACGCTTCAGTGGTGCTTCACCCCACCCGGGAACATTCCTGGGGGGGTTCTTTCCCTGGCGCTCGGGAGGAACCGGGGCTTGCGGCAGAGGGAGCTGCATGGATCTGAACTCCTCGAAAGAGAACTCACAACCAGTTAGGCTGGAAGAGCCCTCTGAGATCGAATCCAACCTATGACTGAATACTACCAGGGCACTAGGTGCCATGTCCAGTCTTTCCTTTAAGTATTTTCCTTAAATCTTCCCCCTTGGAGCGAAAGAGATTTATTTTTCTCCTCTCAAAGGGTACAGTGCTAGATCTAGTGTCTTAAGTCAGATGTCCCTTGGGATTTTGTGCTTGTATAAATAAAATGTGAATGCTTGGTTAAATAGCTGTGAATGGGTCGTGGCAAATCAGTTGCAAAGGTGATGGATAGAAAAGCTTAAGTCTGGGTGTATTAAAATGATGAAGCTGAAGTGTTTTCCCTTCTCTACCCCCACCCCAGAGACCAAAAATGCCAAAGAGGTGGCCCAGCAGAATAGAGATGGAGCCCAGCCTCCTACTGGCCACCCCCCTGCCGGTGCTAGCCAGAGCTCTGCTACCAAATGCCCATTCCTGGCAGCTCAGATGAATCACAAGAACAGCAACGTTTTCTGCAAAGCCAGCCTGGAACTCCAGGAGGATGTGCAGGAAATGCAGGCGGACAGGAAAGGTACGTATTCCATGTGCTGAAGCTGTGATTGATTCCTTCTGAGAGCTTCTGGTGCCTGACTTGGCTCTGGAGTCTGCCAGGCCTGACAGTCACCACTGACACAGTGCAGGTGGGATTATGGGAGACTGAAGGAGAAAGAGCTTGTGTGCAGGGTTTGCCTGGGTGATTGTGGTGTGGGAATACTGTGTGATGTATTTTGATGTGCTGGCTGGCTCTGGATGTGTGAATCAGGCTGATGCGCTCGCACCCAAAGCAGATGCTTAGATCTGGAGAGAGCTGGTACAGACAAAGGTTTTCTATCCAAAGATGGAAGAAACTGTGTTGAGACATCAGGCACGTACCAGCACAAATCCAAGCAGATGGTTTTGGGTGGGTTTTTTGTGTTTATGGAACTAAAGGGTGTTGGCTGGGTTGCAGTCTTGATGCGGAAGGGCTGCCCTTCAAAGGAAGGAACTTTTCAGCAGTATCAGTAAAGCCTTGCTGCCTGTCTCAGGAAGCTTATTTTACTTTTCTGTTTGCTTTCTGTGGCACTAGAAAAAAAAATAAATCTGTGCTAACAGAAAGAAAGGAGTTGACTGGAACTCTTCCTTCAGTTAGGTGTGTACCAACCCTTTCAGATAAGTGCTATAGCTGTATACAGTGGTTTTCTGAGTCATAATGAACCAAATGTGTTGTAAGGAAATTACATGTTGTATTTTGATTGATTAGCAAGGCTAATCCTCTTGTCTCATCCAGTACAAATTTGTAAGCAAATAAAGTAGTTGATCCTAACAGAGGCCTCTGGTTTTGGGCATGTGCTTCCTAAAGATTGAAGAGTTAGGCTTACTTAAAATGTTTGCTTTGCTGAACTCAACTTACTTCATTTTGTCTCAAAACAATTAAGCTCACTGGAATTTCTTACAATGTCTGTAGGTACAGAATTTGCCAAAATACCAACTACTTCCCCAGTGAGGAGCATTGAGACTGAGGGAGAAGAGCAGAATGGCTTGCTCAAGAAGTTTAAGGATATTATGCTGAAGCAAAGACCAGAAAGTGTCTCTCACCTGCTTCAGGATAACTTGCCAAAATGTAAGAACGTCGGGCAAAACCCCCAGGGGCCTGCTCTGTTGTGATTATTTCCTGTGTGCTTAAGAAGTCTCTGTCTCCTTTCAGCTGTGTCCACCTTCCAGTACGATCAGTTCTTTGAGAAGAAGATAGATGAGAAGAAGAAGGATCACACCTACCGAGTGTTCAAAACCGTGAACCGGAAGGCGCAGATCTTCCCCATGGCAGATGACTACACTGACTCCCTGATTACCAAGAAAGAGGTGTCTGTCTGGTGCAGCAATGATTACCTGGGCATGAGCCGTCACCCTCGTGTCTGTGGAGCAGTTATGTGAGTAGTGCCATGTTCTTAAGAGGCAGTTTCAAGCTATATGGCCCTGCAGAAGCTTTTGCGGGAAGGCTTCTGAAGAGCTGATTTCTGTACTGTGCTACATAAGCTGCTTCTGACATGATTCCTGGTATGCAGTTAAACATGCACTCTTCTCTTGAGCTGGGGTAGGTAACTTGGTGTTTAGCTCCAGGGCTGCACTGTACCCGTTGGTCACTGATTCTGCTCCTTGGATTTTCCGTAGAGGCCCCCAAATGTTACCAGATAAACTGGACTGTATATTGCAGCAGTCCTTGGGCACTCATTTCTTACCTTAATGGATTCCTGAGTTGTGCAAGTTGCTCAAAGACCTAACAGTGCTTTTTGTAGCCAGTTCCTTTTCAGTATAACCCTGATTATGTACTAGAATGTTTTCAGCAATGATCCTTTATTCCTCTCTAGGTCACAGAGCAATGCTAATGCCTCTTCTTGGGCCCTCTTTAGGGATACTCTGAAACAACATGGTGCTGGAGCAGGAGGCACAAGAAACATTTCAGGAACAAGTAAATTTCATGTCGACTTGGAAAAAGAGCTAGCTGACCTTCATGGAAAAGATGCAGCACTGTTGTTCTCATCTTGCTTTGTAGCCAATGACTCCACTCTCTTCACTCTAGCTAAAATGCTGCCAGGTGAGATCTCAAACTGCACCCCTGTTACCACAGAATACGCAGCCTTGCCCTAAGCTGTCGGGAGTATGCTTTACAAATAGCTGTCCAAAGTGAAGATTCATCCTAATCCCTCAGCAAAGTATGGTTGGCTGCTACTTCTAATGCCATGTTCAAGTTGTGTTCAACACAAATCTTAGTACCAGCCTACTGAGATTGACATGCAGGAGCTGGGAGCTGCTGGAGGAATTAGACAAGCAGAGAGCATTCTGCTCTTGCAGTTAAACTCTACCTGAAGATATGACAGCAAAATTTAGAAGCTGTAAGAGTTACATAAAAGTACTGAGGACTTGAAAATCTTCTGTATTTCCTTAAGCTCTAATTTATCTTAGTTTGAACACCTGAAATAAACCTTAAATATTATTCTTGCTTCATGATCTGTAGCTTGCTCTTTTGATCGAGAGCGTTACTCCCAAGAGCACTCTACCCTTGTTTCCTGAACACCTCACATACATAAAACAATGCTGGGAATCAGGTAATGTTTTCTATATACTGAAGAGTGTAACTGGGTTGTTTCCTCAGGTTGTGAGATCTACTCTGACTCTGGAAACCATGCCTCCATGATCCAGGGGATCCGTAACAGCAGGGTGCCAAAACATATATTTCGCCATAACGATGTCAACCATCTTCGAGAACTATTGAAGAAGTCTGATCCATCCACCCCTAAAATTGTTGCATTTGAAACTGTTCACTCAATGGATGGTAAGATGACATGAAAGCTTCCTCTCTCCTTCCAGTTAATATTCCAGTCAACTGTATTTCAGGTCTAAAAGTGTACAGTGCTACAAGGGCTGTTTAGGGGTAGTTCTGGTGTTTGTCCAAGCTGCATACAGGGAATCCTAAACTGCCAGTTGCTGCTTTGGTTCCTAGGTGCAGTCTGTCCTCTGGAAGAGCTGTGTGACGTGGCCCACGAGCACGGGGCCATCACTTTTGTGGATGAAGTGCACGCTGTGGGGCTGTATGGAGCTCGAGGTGGTGGCATAGGAGACCGGGATGGAGTCATGCACAAGATGGACATCATCTCTGGAACACTTGGTATGCATGGCCTGGCACTTCCACAGGAGCTAAAGCACCAAAGCTTCTGAGCAGCCAAATTAAGTGGGTTAACTCAAAATCTGTCTACTCAAATGAACTTGTTAAGGGCTCTTGGGGTTAGGGTTTTTTCGAAAAGCCCAAAGGATTTAAGTTTGCCCCACAGTTTGAAAAGCTTTTGTTAAGCTACTTAGAGTGTCTTACAAATCAGAGAAAAACCCCAAACAATGGTACCTTAAGCAAGCTAGCAAAAAGTCCTCCAGTGCCGTGTTATACAACTCAAGAATAAATTCAGGTGAGAATGCTAGTAGAGTAGTTTCTCTATATT